ATCTTTCTACTTGTGCGATTTATCTTTTCTTTGTCTTTGCGTAATTTCTTTTACGCAACAGCAGAGTAGTTGATGGATTTATACTTTGGCCATCTTTTATGTTTTCATAATTCATCACCATTTAAACAGTAAAACTGTCTAGACAGTTTTGCTAAGTCCTATAAAAGTATATACGTTATTGCATTCTACTTTTACTAGTGACTTTTACATGACATTTTAAAAAATATCGAAAATTAACCGAACTGTACCGATAACGAAGAGAAACCGACATGATTGAGACGATTTCAAAAAGTTTAATTTTGGTTATACATAATTGAATAACCGAAAAATTGGTATGGTACAAATTTTATAAAATAACCGACCAAACCGAACCATTGACACCCCTAGCTGCTTGTAAGCTGTCTGCATGAGCTGCTTGCAACCTGCCTGTTTAATAAGAAGTTGTCGCAAATCATTTCATTGAGCTGCTTGTAACCTGCCTGCATCAGCTGCTTGTAGATAAATTTCAACAGAGTACTAAATGGATAATCTTCTTCAGGAAGATTATCTATAGCGGAGTAATGAATGGACATCCTCAATATAATATTTTCATAACACTCCCCATTGGATGTTCATTAAAAGATAATGTACCTCGTTAAAACCTTACTAGGGAAAACCCAGTGAAAAAAATCCTAGTGAAGGAAAAAGAGTACACATATTTAGTAATATGTATTTTTAGATGCCTCGTTAAAAACCTTATAAGAAAAACCTTATGGAAAAAAGTTTAGTAAGGAAAAAAGAGTACAGTGCGTATTTCACTCCCCCTGATGAAAACCTTGTTTCAAATATTTGAGTCTCCGCATTCCAATCTTGTATACCATCTTCTCAAAAGTCAAAGTTGGTAAAGATTTAGTGAACAAATCTGTTGGATTGTTACTTGAACGGATTTGTTGCACATCGATGTCACCATTTTTCTGAAGATCATGTGTGTAGAATAACTTTGGTGAAATATGCTTTGTTCTATCTCCTTTTATAAATCCCCCCTTTAATTGGGCTATGTATGCAGCATTGTCTTCGTATAAAATTGTGGATCTTTTATCACACTCCAAACCATATTTTTCTTGAATAAAATGAATCATTGATCTCAACCATACGCATTCCATACTTGCTTCATGCATAGCTATTATCTCAGCATGATTTGAAGAAGTAGCAACAATTGACTGCTTTATGGAGCGCCATAATATGACAGTACCTCCACATGTAAACACGTACCCGGTTTGAGATCGAGCTTTATGGGAATCAGATAAATAACCTGCACCTGCATAACCAACAAGATTTGCACTACCTTTGTTAGCATAAAACAAACCCATATCAAGAGTTCCCTTTAAATATCGCAAAATATGCTTAATCTCATTCCAATGTCTCTGTGTAGGAGAAGAGCTATATCTTCCTAGTAAATTAATTGAAAATACTATGTCATGTCTTATAGCATTAGCAAGATATATAAGTGCACCAATTGCACTGAGATAGGGTGTTTCAAGACCAAGGAGTTCCTCATCCTCTTCTGGAGGTCGGAACGGGTCCTTATTCACTTCAAGTGATCGGACAACTATTGGTGTACTCAATGGGTGCGCTTTGTCCATGTAAAAGCGTTTTAAGACCTTTTCTGTATAGGCAGATTGATACATAAAGATCCCGTTTGCTAAAGGTTCAATTTGCAGTCAAAGACAAAGTTTTGTCTTTCCAAGATCTTTCATCTCAAATTATTTTTTAAGATATTCAATTGCCTTTTGGAGCTCTTCTGGAGTTCCAACAAGATTTATATCATCAACACAAACAGCAAGTATAACGAATTCTGATGTTATTTTCTTTATAAAAATACATGGACAAATAACATCATTTATGTAACCCTCTTTTAGCAAATATTCACTAAGGCGATTATACCACATGCACCCAGATTGCTTTAAACCGTACAAATATCTTTGTAATCTGAATGGATACATTTCCCGAGATTTTGAATATGCTTCAGGCATTTTAAATCCTTCAGGGATTTTTATGTAAATCTCATTATCAAGTGACTCGTACAGATAAGCTGTAACCACATCCATCATATGTATTTCAAGCCTTTCACGTAAAGCTAAACTGATGAGATATCGAAATGTTATGGAATTCATAACGGGTGAATATGTTTCTTCATAATCAACTCCAGGTCGTTGTGAGAATCTTTGTGCGACAAGGAGAGCCTTGTATCTTTCAACTTCATTTTGGTCATTCATTTTCGGCACAAAACCCCTTTTATGACCAACTGGTTTTATACCAGCAGGTGTTTGGATTACTGGTCCAAAGACCTCTCTTTTAGCAAGTGCGTTCAATTCTGATTGAATTGCCCCTTGCCATTTTAGCCAATCAGATCTTTGTCGATATTATTCGACAGATCGGGGTTCAAAATCCTCACTATCTTGCATAATGTTAAGTGCAACATTATAAGCAAAAATATTATCCACCACTATTTCAGATCGATTTAAATTAATCCCATCACCAGTAGAACTTATTAAAAGTTCCTCGCTCACTTGAGTCTCGGGTTCAGTGATTTCTTCAGGAATCTCAGAACTAATCAGATTTTGGGTCTCTTCAGGAGATCCCTTTATAGTATCGTTTTAATCATTTGTCGATTTTCTTTTTCTAGGATTTTGATCCTTAGAACCCAAAGGTCTACCACGCTTCAGGCGTGCTTTAGGTTCACTAGATCTCTTGCTAGTAGATAGTCATGTTGGGATATCAATTCGGATAGGCATATTCTCTGCAGGGATATGTGACTTAGTTATCCTTTTCAAATCAGTAAACGCGTTTGGCATTTGATTTGCTATATTTTGTAAATGAATGATCTTCTGGACCTTATGGTTACATATAGGGGTACGTGGATCAAAATGGGATAATGATAAAACTTTTCATACAATTTCTCTTTTGATTTTCTTTTTTTCTCCCCCTAATTGTGGGAAATTTGTTTCATCAAACCGACAATTTGCAAATCGAGCAGTAAATAAATCTCCCGTCAATGGTTCAAGATAGCGAATAATAGAGGGTCCAACATATATTCATAATCTTCTCTGCGAGCTCATCTTACTGCGTTGTGGTGGTGCTACTGGCACATATACAACACATCCAAAAATTCGTAGATGGGCAATATTTGGTTCATGACCAAAAACTAATTGTGACGGAGAATATTTATTATAATGTGTCGGTCTGAGACGGATAAGTGATGTTGCATGCAAGATAGCATGGCCCCAAACAATAGCGGGCAATTTTATTTTCATAAGTGGTAGTCTTGCTATCAATTGTAGGCGTTTAATAAATGACTCTGTAAGGCCATTTTGAGTATGAACATAAGCTACAGGATATTCGACTTTTATCCCAAATGATAGACAATAATCATCAAAAGCTTGAGATGAGAATTCTCTAGCATTATCAAGGCGAATAGCCTTTATAGGATAATCTGGGAATTGTGTCCTTAATCAAATTATTTGGGCTAATAGCTTTGCAAATGCCAGGTTGCGAGATGATAGTAGGCACACATGAGACCATCTTGAAGATGCATCTATTAGGACCATAAAATATCTAAACGACCCACTTGGTGGGTGAATAGGTTCACATATATCCACATGTATACATTCTAAAAAGACAGGGGATTCAATGCCAACCTTTATTGGTGATGGTCTAATGATCATTTTGCCTTGATAACAAGCATCACAAGAAAATTCATTATTTGTAAGGATCGTCAGGTTCTTTAATGGATGCCCACTCGAATTTTCAGTAATTCGTCTCATCATTATTGATCCAGGATGGCCCAAACGACCATGCCAAAGCATAAAAATATTTGAATCAGTAAACTTCTGGTTTACGTTAGAGTGTGCTTCAACTGTACTAATCTCCGAATAGTATAAGCCAGAAGATAAAGTTGGTAACTTTTCTACAATGCACTTCTGGCCAGAAATATTCTTTGTAATATAAAGATATTCCATATTCATTTCATTTATCATCTCAACATGATACCCATTTCGGCGAATATCCACAAAACTCAACAAGTTTCTTCGGAGCTTGGAGGAGAATAATACATTGTCTATTATAAATTTTGTTTCCTTAGACAGAAATATAGTGGCTCTTCCGGAGCCTTCAATTAAACTTATATTACCAGAAATTGTTGAAACATTTGCTTTTTCCTTATGCGAATAAGAAAAGTATTTCTGATATTTGAATATGGCATAAGTTGTTCCACTATCAATTACAAAAATATCTTCATGATTGGTTTTTTATCCAAACATAATTTGAGGATTATCCATATTCTTCAAAATGACATAAATAAAATAAATATGATAGTAAACATCATTATCAAAGCATAACTTTTATTTATGTACAACAATTACATAACCATACTATCTACTACAAATAACAAAAATTAAAATATTTACATCTCTACAGAATCATCACCGATCACATGACTTATTTATTTATATTTTATTTAGCTGTTTGTAAGCTGTCTGCATGAGCTGCTTGCAACCTGCCTGTTTAATAAGAAGCTACTGCAAATCATTTCATTGAGCTGCTTGCAACCTGCCTTCATCACCTGCTTGTAGATAAATTTTAATAGAGTACTAAATGGATAATTTTCTTCAGGAAGATTATCTATAGCAGAGTAATGAATAGACATCCACAATATAATATTTTTATAACAAACCCAAAATAGTTGTATTTCTTTAATCTTTATTACCAAATGACCCCCAAAGAGTAAAGTACTGGCATTCTATCGGTTGAAGATTAATTATTCTACTATTATCTTTATGAACAGTTTAATATATTGTATTAACCCTGAAATTGTCTATCTTACTATTTTATCCTGAGATTACTATTTTTTTCTGATAAATATAAGTTATCATGATATAATGAGATAATTTATTTTAAAATTAGTAACCAAATAAGATAAGGCCATACGAAATTTCTATCCAAGTATTATTTTTGCTACTGAATATAAGCCGGGAAAGGAAAGTTATTTCAATTCTGCCGCTTTCCTTATCATAAGACATGACACTACCGCCAATGCCGACGACGGCAGGAATTTCCAGTATGCGATTAGCCGGAGGAGAGATTCGTACGGTGTTAATCACAGGCGTGAGCCGAGGATTAGGCAAAGCCCTAGCCCTAGAAATGGCGAAGAGAGGCCACGGCGTCATCGGCTGCGCTCGTTCTCAGGACAAGCTCAATGCCCTCCAACCCGAGCTCGCTTCCGTTACCAATCCTCCTTCTGAGAACAAACACCTCCTCATGAATGTCGACGTGGTAATCCGTAATTTCACATTTTTCTCTTTGCCCCGCCCTTTTTGTATAACTGTATTTGCGTCCAGAATCTTCTGATGGAGTTGCATTTGTATACCTTAATTTTTTTTGTGTCAGTTTAGTTCACTTAGGAAAATTGGTTAAACAATTCAATTAGAGAGCTTACTCAAGATAGTAATTGTCTATGGATTGACATTTGTTCGGAGAACTGGTCTTTTGAAAGTGACATAGTTTGACTCTGGCACGGAATTTAAGAAATAAATAAAACACTTTTGAAATTTGTAATAGCTTCTCATTAACGTTAAAATGATAAGTTCAAAGTAATTGGTTCCATTTATAGAAATATGTCTTTTTGGAACGGATTAATAAGGAAATATTACCACATAAGCTGGTGACATAAGCTGGTGACAGAGAAATACTTTTTCTTCCTCCACATCATTCCACATTTTACCTACTATTATTTTTGCTTTTTTGATTTTGTGAAACTGAAACATGAATTCGTAATGTTGTTAGTTTTGCTGCTTGTTTCGTTGTAGCTACTGTGGTACGAGTGATTGTTGTGGGCTTTCTGGAATATGGCTCCATTTATGTATTAGAAAACTCGGCAATAGTTGCAGAAATTAGAATTTATTTATTCGTCTGGAGTAGGGTGTATACTATCCTGCATGTAGTTTTAGTTTAAGCAACGAGGAGGCATGAATAGAAGAAGATTGAGTCATTGAGAAGACACAAGAAGTTTTTTTTTCTATGAACTGGATACTATAATAGCTTCAAAGCATTATTTTAACTTCTTCATCTGAACAAGACATCATGGGGAATATAATTGGATAAAATCAAGTTCCAAAGTATGCGCAAGTGAATAGGCTGAAAATAAGGGCTGGAGACTAAGGGGAGGAAAAGCTAAAAATACCAAATACTTGAGTCAAAGTGGGGTTTTGGCTGTTCTGAGTGTGGTTAGTTTATAAATAATGAGGATGAATTGAGTGAAGACTGGTAGAATGAGTTGAGTAGAAGACATGGAAAATGTAAAAGCCTATGTCTCTCAGGTGGAATAGAGTGTTGCGGTTACTTATTCGATTTGACGAAGTTCATGGAGAATATAGTTCGATAGAAACTGAGTCTCGAAGCTCAATTGAAGGCACAGATTGATTGACTTCTGCGCTATACCCAGGATTGGACAAAAATGATGTGGGATAGGTAGGAACAAGTTTCTAAGAGAACAAGAATATAAATGACCCGATGTATACTGAAGATATGGAAATTCCTTTAATTTGTTTTTATGTCCATTATCAAGGAAGGGCTTTTATGGGTGTGCTCAACTCTAAAGACCCTTTTATATTTTCTCTTTTTTATGTAAATTTCTTTTTTAATTTTTTATCTAGTGTTTCCATCCACTAGTTTTGCTAAAAAATGAGGGATAAAAGTGTCTCAACATATCAAAAAAGAAAAGAATGGCTTGTAGGATACTACGACTAATATTAAAAGCCTTGTTGGTTAAGGAGAGATAGAATACATGTTTGAAGTTCAGTACAAGCTTTTCTGCACCTCCTCAATCAATACTTTGTACCCTGTTTATATTTCTGAGTACTTGCTTTCCCTATTGCTTGCATCTAAAGCTCAGGTGTTTGTCATAGTTGAATGTTGCTGTGATGAATAAACATATTGGCTGACTGCAAGAATGAATATATCTGTGTTTTTGTGTATATTTATATAGTTTAATTTTTTTTTTCTTCACAAAATCGCTGGTCCGCCTACATGCATCCATTGACATAGTTTGTGTTTCTTCCTTGGCATTTCAGAGTTTAAATAGCAGTGTTGAGGAGTTAGCACGTGCTGTTATGGAGAAAAAGGGCGTTCCTGATATTATTGGTACTTGGTTGTATACAACCTTGCTGCTGCTGTACATTTTGTTCTTTTTATAAAGGATATAGTGATCTTAATAACTTTGCTCCCATTACCAATATTAAAGTGCAATCCTACCCAGCCTCTCTAACAACAGCACTCAATTGACTTATTTACTATTTAATAATTCAGATGAGTTTTTCCTGAATCTTGGGATTTTTTTTAAATTTAAACGAAGAATATCTCGAAGGAGAAAGCATTTCTGCGATGGTTCGACTAGAAATTGGAGAAAGTTTCTCCCATTAATCTTATTTAAGGCTGTTATTTCTGAGTTTCCTGTCATGTCTCACAGTGATAGATGAAAGCATATTTGTCCTTGAGGATCTGAAATTAATCCTCACATACATACTAATTTAGGTACTGGACTTGATTATACATCACTAACTGATGACATCTTTACTTTGAGAATAGCCAAATTATTCTGAAGATAATCAATTTTTCTTGGCATAGATGGAGCATATTGGTTCTGGTTTCTACTTAGAGAAGAGGGTAAAACAAGTGCTTCTCATTTTACAAGTGGCTTATATTCTCTATTCATATTTCCTGAGCTGTTTCAAGACTGCACAGTGTAGCCTAGGCTTTGTGCTGTTCATCAGTCTGTATTATGCCATATTGTGTCATCATTCTTTTGCCATCATTAAGCATTCGGTGCATTATTTAGTATGGTATTGTACACTCCTGCACTTATAGTTAAATCGCAGCTTCCAGCTGTATGTGCATGCACCGCTAGTTGATATGTCTGTTGACACTTGCTTTAGAAATTTGTGTTATCATTATAAGGTCTCAAGTCTAGTTACTGGGATTGGTGAGCTAATTTCGTGTTTTATAATAAATTGAGAATTTATAAATAACTTGGGTCACTTGCAAGATTCTGATGGAGATGTAGTTGATTGATTGACTGTAAGTTTTTTTGGGTCAAGATGGCTGTAAGTTTGTAGCAATAAAATAAAGGTAGGAAATCCAGATGGATATTTACTCTTAACTAGGAGTGTCAATTACGTATAATGGGTCGATATGGGTAGAAAAATTGATTGAATCATTAAATGGGTCAATGATCCTATTTGTTCAAAGTCTGTTTGGGTCGAAATGAGTAAGATCAAGATGGGTTGACCAGCGGCTCATGACCCAAACCGCCCAACTCAACACTACTTTCCCATTTGTTTATGTTTTTCTAGATTATATTGTAATGTTGAGTTGCTTAAAAATGCTTCATTGTGCAATAAAGTAAAATTATATCATTCATCAAAACCATTTGTTTGTCTTTTTCTTTTGGGTGACAGTGTGCACAGCTCCATGTTTGTATGGGCTGGTATGTAGCCCAAGTTGACCCAGTCTTTTCAATGGGTTAATTTGGGGTTAACCTAATTTAATCCTTGAATGGTTATGCCACTTACCCAACCTGTTGAAGTTTGCTGAATTGGCAGGTTACACTTTTATGGTTTTAAATTGACACCCTATAGTTTGTACTGGTCTTTGTTATCTCGCATTCAGAAAGACCTAAAATATGAACCTCGTTCAGTGAACAGCGCAGGAACTATTAATAGGAACAACAAACTATGGGAAGTGCCAGCTGAAGAGTTTGATTCTGTCATTGATACCAACATAAAAGGAACTGCAAATGTTCTGCGTCACTTTATTCCCCTAATGCTTGAGAAGAAGCAAGGAGTGATAATAAATATGTCTTCTTCTTGGGGAAGATCTGCCGCTGCACAGGTAAAACTCAGTTTCTACTGAAATTACCAGAACTTTATCCATAAGTTCTCATAGTTCTACTCTAGTCTGTTAATCATATTGCTGATGATTTGCAAAAATGTTGGTTCTTCTATGCCAGCTGTGCATCGGATCTCATATTTTATGTCCCTAGAGTTCCCCGTAATAAATTCTTGGATCTTTTCCTCAATAACTGAGGGATTTCAAAATATGCAAAGAGCCAATATGCTTGATGAGCTTCATTTTGCTAGGTTAATTTGGTGACAGTTGAGAACATTTGCCCTAGAAGACATGTAGGGACCATGGAACTCAAACATTGATCATTTAAGCATTGAAGAACCTAAGTTGCTTTTTTTTTGGGGGGTCTCAAATGTGAACTTTTAAACTGACTTCAAATTTGGAAGTTAATGAGGAAGGAACTCTATGCATGCGAATCATCACCAGATTAATTATACAAATGGGTGATGAAAAAGCCAATTTATTTGGATTTCCAACTAGCTTAAATAACTTCTGGGGGTTCGAGTTTGGCCAATATTGTTGTGACCTGATTAGATCTTCACAGGTGGCACCATATTGTACTTCAAAATGGGCAATAGAGGGTCTGACAAGGTCAGTTGCGAAGGAGTTGCCCCCTGGAATGGCAGCTGTTGCACTTAATCCTGGTGTCATTTACACGGACATGCTTCAGTCGTGCTTTGGCAGTTCAGCTTCCCTCTACCAGACACCTGAGTCATGGTACTTAATACCTTCCACTTCACCCTCATCTCCTCAAACTGACTAAGAACTACTTACGATTTCTTTGGCTGTCTAGATGCAACTTTGACATCTTTATTCAATTGGTATTTGGGGCTTTTGTAGGAATGCTACAGTTATGTTTCAAATTACACATTTGCTTCAAGATGAGTTTCATACTCTAGAAGCTTGCTAATGTTTAAAAATTTCTACCTTGTCAGGGCTCCAAAGGCAGCTAATATGATACTGAATCTAACTGCAGCTGATAATGGGGCATCTCTTTCGGTGTGAATTTATGCAGCCGAGTGACATACTACCTTTTGTAGACAGCAGAATGACGGATATTACCAGTTTTTAACTCCAGCGATTATGATAACACTCCCCCC